GTGTGTTTACTGCAACTCAGATTGTCATTGTTTCACATTAAATTTTTTTAATGATTTGATACATTGGGGGGGGAAAAAGCAAAAACGGAGCAAATTTGAAATGGGGAAATTTGGGTATTTTTTTCACTACACTATGTATTGTAATACTGGGATCTGTGCTGATATTAAGTGCAGTGAAGTAAAAGCAAAATGTTTTTTTTTGTGTGTGTAATGTCTGATTTGCGCTCTCAATTTAAACCTATATTTATACTCACAGGATGTTGTGGTCTTTAAGACTTTAACAAGTTTATATAAATGTAAAGTCTTAGATAATCTTTTGTCTTTTTATGCGTTTACTCTGTTTAATTAAACTTGTAAGAACTGAGACAGAAAAGCAGTTTTACTTCGGGAAAATCTTGGATCTCAGCAGTTCTGTAGGGGACTTCAGCTGGCTGTCCAACTCACTGAGGTATGAAATACCGCCCCAGGGTCTTGGAGGTTGCATCTAAGATATTTATTCTCTGGCTGTGTACTGTCAGCCCGAACACACCTACCAAAGATTGACACAGTGGCTGCAGCCTATTATGGCAAGTGTCAGGGCAGCATTGTCAAACAGCGACAAATCAAACATCGGGGGATGGAAGGAGACGCGACGTGGAGTTCGGCACTAGAATGGAAAGATCACTGTTGTCGTTTCTGATCTGACGCTCCTGATTATTACCAAAGATTTAATAAGTGACCCACTGCGTTTCATCCCCGCGCCTTTCTGTCTTTAATATCCTTTGTATCCTCCACCCAGTGTCCCTCTTGTTGCATGTAATCATCTGTCATATTTTCAGTCTGTGCAGTTGGTGATTCATACGCGCAGCATCACCGGCAGCACACTCAGATTCCCTCCCACTCCCTTTTGCGCACTTTTATTTCTTTTTATCCTTCAGTCTCGCCCCTTCCCTCTGTCTTTGTTCTCCCTGCTGCTCCTCACTCTTATTTTTTTTTTTCCCACTGCTGTCAGTCTATTCTCCTCAAAGCCTTTGTCACCCACCCGTCCATCTTTGCTGATATTTACCCCCTTTGTGCCGCGCTTTGCTTTCTGTTAAGGATAGCTGGGGACAGTTTGTGTAAATGTGCATGTTGACCTTTCTGCTATGTCCCTTTTATGTAACACAGATGGCAGAAGGGTCCGTCTCGCCAGCGGACAGCTACTCAACGTGCACCTCGGTCTACATGTTCACGTTGACATTTCTTAGATTTTATGACTTTTTTTTTTCCGTTTCTTCCTCGCAAAAGTTTTGTTTTTATTAGTTTCCCTCCCTTCATGGAGTCAGGCATTTGAGGATCTTGGGTCAGATTTCATTGCATCCCCTCACTAAGACCCTCTTTTTTTTGTGCATTGAAGGCTTGTCATTAGATGTAGACAGAGTGAAAAGGAGTTCCTGATATATAGCGGTGCTCCCTTCTGGGAGCTATTAATAAGCTTTTTTCTTTGTGTTACCCCCCCTTTCTCTCCCCACCATCTCCAAGCACCATGTTTTAGGATTCAAATGAGGATGTTTATTGTTGCTGAACCACCTGCTTTATAAACGTAATGAATCAAGTGACATAGTGCAGAACAATAAAGCAAATATCAAGTGAAAATAGGATGGTGGGAGTTATTGAAACTCTATCGGGACGGCATTTCCGATCTGTTATTAACCAAACTACCGTATTTTCTGGACTATAGAGCGCACCATACTATAAGCTGCACCTAAAAAGAAAAAGAAAAAAAAAATCCTGGAAATGTACATAAGCCGCACCGGGATATAAGTCGTTGGTATCTCCGCCGCTCTCGGTTTTCCATAGGGACGCAGCAGAGGGCTCTATTTCCCTCCTGTACTGCCAGATCGATAGTCTTCAACTTAAAAGCTGCATCATATGAACTTCTTCGTGTTGTTTCTATGATGAGGGGTATGAGTTTTAAAACATTTCTCTGTTGTGCCTGCTGCTAGCATGTGCTTGTTCTAAATGAAAAATAGCACTTTCTTCTTTGATTTCCAATTTTTGACTTTCAGTGATTCACTTCCTGCTAAAGCGCCCCCTGGTGGTTGAAGAAAAATCCAAAGAAAAGCCGCAGCAGGTTATAAGCTGCGTGGTTCAAAGCGTGGGGAAAAAAAGTAGCAGCTTATAGTCTGAAAAATACAGTAATGAGAAAACAAGTCAAGTTGTCGGTTTTTCTTTCAGTTTTAAGCGTTCTCCATGTTGAGGTGAGTGGATCTTCATCAGTGCAGAAAGAATATTCGCATGAGATTAACAAAAGTAATTACTTTATCATTTCAGTAATGCTTGAGTCGTAGTTGCGTTAATCCGTCTGTGTTGTGTTTGATGGTTTTAAAGTAGGAACAAAAGAGCAGATCAGAGCTTGGCAGGATCATTGTGTGAATCTTTCAATGTAAATAATGAGAAAACCTGCAGAATTTGAGCAGTTAGTAAAACAGCAGGGAATATCACAAAAATAATGAAGCCAAAGAACAATATATACACATGGATCATAACATGAGCTGTAGGTAAGGTAATCCCGCTGATCCCTCGCACACTTCCAAACCCGTACATATTTATGCTCTTTACCTTCCTCCCTCATTCTCTTTTGTTGTTCTTTCATGGGAGTCCGTATGATGGTTCAAGTGTCAATAAAAAACAAAAAAAGCCCGGCTGCCTTTTACCCTGTCGGCGTCTCCATCAAGGACTTAGATCAGTTTGCTTCTGGATTGAGCGATCGTGCTTCAACTCCCCACCACCAAGTACATTAGTGATGGCTTCAGCAAAGTGTTAACTCCTCTAGATTTGTCTTTGCCCAAGTGGAAGAGCTGTGGGTGGTGGGATAATTGGTAGCTCCATGCCACTCTTTTTTTTTTTTTTTGTCTCACTGGTTAGCCATAGAGAAAAGAAAAAAATCTTGTTTACACAGAGTTTTTTTTTTGTCTGATGTTTCACAGCTCTCATCAGTGTTGGTTTTCCACAGCATCAGAAAACCTGACAATATTGAATCTTAGTAGCAGTTTGTAAAAAAAGATGTACTATATAATAATACCAAGACTTTTTTTGTACACTTTTCACAATTCTGTTTGCTAAGAAAACATATAAAGACGAGGTGTGTGGATGTTTGAAATGTATTTGTTGTCAAATGTTAAAATAAGACTCATGTTTCATCCAGCTTTGTTAGTTCTTCATTTATCCGTCAATATTTAAAAACAAGTTTAGATTGTCGAGCATGAACGACCTGTTCAAGGACACACTGCTGCATCTTAATCAGATTAAATTCCGGGCCTTGGACTAGGCCTCTCCAAAACCACTTTTATTGACACTCCCAACAAAGACGGTTGAGTATATTCTCAAACTGAAAAAAATAAATAAATAAAAACAGATCCAACCTCTAGCTTAATAACGTTAATTCAAGGGGAGACCCTTATTTCTCCTGCCAACACAAATGTAAGCGTGGCGTTTTCTAATATCTACTGGGAACTGTGAGCTTTGGTTGAATGATAGTGACGTTTCTCGTTCACTGTCATTGAAAGATAGTGAATCCAAGTATAAACAAACGATGGGCATTTGGGAAATTACCTCATGCATGGTAGCATGGTAGAGGATCTATGATGCTGTGGGCCATTTTCCCCTTTAAATACCCTGGGAACTGTGTAAGACTGCATGGCATCATAAAATGGTCCCTGAATAGAAAAAAAAAATAAACACAAACTCTATTTTCTCCCATGACCTTCATAGTCCTCCAACTTAAATCCAAAAGAAGACCTCACAAGGTGAGCTGGAGATAGGACAGGACCCAGGACTCTCATCATCATTTGACCCGCTACCACTTCATCCAGCAAACTAGATGAAGTGGTAGCATCTGCTCTGCTAGCTGCTGTTGATCCAGAACTGAAGTTTAGTGTCTTAATTCTGCCTCAGTTGTCAAAGCTGTAGCAGCTGGCTGACTCATAATAACTGGTGTCAGATATTTAGGTGAATAGATGTAAACTCTTAACACTACGCTCACTTGTGTCAATTTTAGGAGTCAAGGTTGGGATGTGTGTGTGTGTGCGCGCGTGCGTGTGCGTGCGCTCTTTTATATTGTGAACAATGGAGCATGGAGGATGCTATGTGTACGTAGCAGCACAATATTTAGCGAGGCACTTCTTAAAGTTCCTGAAAGTTTTGTGTGAACTTCCAGAGGTTTCTCTGTGACTGAGTTGCTCATTTGGAGGAGTTTGAGATAACTCCAGAGACGTCAGCCAAGAGAAGCACAGAATGTACCCGCACTGTTCAGTCAAAGATTACCCAACCAATGCCAGCGATTTAGTCATCATCATTTGCAGGCTGTTAAAGAAATGGACATTACATACATACATATCGGGAGATCGTTCATCCAGAAGCTGTTTGATTCTCCACTTGCGACCAGCATAAGTCTAGCGCCAGTACTTGATTAGTATGTGTGATGGGCCTTTCCCACAGCAGTTTAAGGTCTTGCGTAGATCTGCTTGTTCTGATTGGAGTTGACTTAGAAATATTACTTGACATTAAGGATTGACAAAAACTCTTAATTTATCCCCTCCCCCCCCCTGGACAAACTAGACTAAAATTTGCTGGAGACTTTCAAACCAATTAAAAGATAGCGGAGATTGGAGTTTGATGATGATTCTGTTTGGGTTTGACACTACTGCGTGCCGCATGTGCATTTAATGCATTATTAATACTGACACATATTCCCTGATAGGAGGGCTTTAATATTTATACCAAGCATTTCTGATGATAATCAGATGTGCATCCAAGTCCAGCAGAGAGAAAACTGTGTTCTTGTATTATGATGCATATTAGCTGGCATTTCTACTCGTGCTGAACATCTGTGGTGGGCTACAATCTGCCAGTAATATCAAAAGCCAGCAAATTTTATTTTCATCACAGTCTCAAAATAGAGGAAATCAGCCGAGCGAATTCTGAGTGAAAAGAAAAGTCGTACATAAAAGTACAACCATCTGTACCATCTAATTTAGTAGGCACATTTCCTTTCTATTTCCTCTGCAGGTACATGTATACCCTGTGCCCATTCAATACGGTCTCACAAAAGAGCACAGAAGGAACAGAGGTCTCATTAGGGTAAGTACCTCAATCTTTGTCTATTTGGTTTCCAGAGTGAATTATCTCAATCGATGACCTGCCAGAATGTGTCAGCCAAAGTGGGGGAAATGGCAAATCTATTATGGAGGAACTTGATTTAAAAACATTCTTTCTAAAGTGACTGTGCATGCGTTCTGCTCTGACATTTAGAATCTGCTGCAGAGCATGTTCCCTCTTAGGTAAATAAAATGATAAGTTTCTTTTTCATGAATGAACTTGAAACAAATCCCATCGCTTTACTTATGTGGAAGCCAGCCTTAGATCAATATTTGTTTGATTTCTTTTTCCCCACCTCATTCAGTCACTGTTTGATTCTTGTGACCTTTAATCAGCCTCTAACAGATGTGTTTTATAATTTTAATACCTCTTGATCCAGGAAAAATGGGTCTGGCTCCATATACTGCTGTTTTTTTTTTTTTTGTTTGTTTTTATGCCTCTAAGGGTTTCAGTTTCATCACAACATGCTAGTGATTGACTGTAACCTTGGAAATGGTTCCATCAACTGCTGGGGTTTGATGTGTGTCATAAATGCTATGGGAGACATCAGGGTTAGACGTCAGAAAATACTTTCTAGTTCTTATGTCTAGGGAATCTCACTTTACAGTTTTAATTTCCAGCATAGTATGTTAGGCCCCCATCACAACCCCAAACAGCTGTTCACACGTCAGCGGACGATGGCAAACCTGATTTCAGCATCGAGGCAATCGCGATTCTTTTGCTCTTTGTTTCAACGCAACCCTGATTTTCTTCTTCCGGATGTGTTCTCAGTCATCCTATCACAGTTCTACCACCATCACAATGTTTCCTCAGCTGTGGAATCTGTGTGAGTAATTTTAGCCTAGCACAGAACATGAAACCAGTATTTTGGTGATAAATGGGAAACTTATTTAGCACCTTATTGAGTCCAGAGGACTCCAAAGTGCTTTACACTACATTCAGTCATACACCCACATTTACACTTTGATGGTGGTGAGCTACTACTTTGTAGCAACTCTTTGGAGGATCTACTTTATTTTTTAATGTTTTGTGCTGAGACTTTTATGCTGTTATATTACAAACCCCGCAAGCCACAGGTCACACTTCTTCCTCCTGCTTTTCAAGTTTAGTGAAAAGCAGGAGGAATTTCTATTTGACGGTGAGTAAATGCACTTTACATATACAACATATACATATATAAGCTACCAGCCTATACGCAATTTGGAGGTGTGTGCGTTTCTCTGTATCTGTATGGCAGTTAAGCACATACCAATTACTACGAACAAGGGGCCTGCTAATGTGACATATCTATTGATTTAGAAATTGTGGATTTTAGGTGTTTGGCGAGATTCTATTGGTTGAAGCTTGCTCAGTGGCAGGTCACAATTTTCATACCAGCCAGCCTCACGAGAGCGCTGCAATAAATAAATCATAGAAAAGCCGGCCTACAATTGGCACTAATAAGGTGGTGATGTTCTTCTTAAAATGCTCCATTGACCAGACAATACAGCTGCTGTGGGCCGCCACAGGGAAACCCAGCCACGATCTCACTATGAAAGCTGAAAAAGGCCAGGATGCTCTCTACGTCATACCTCTCCAAGATCATCCACACTCTCTGGCTGATTTTTAACGTTACACTGCAGTTGTAATCTGATCCATTGACGTCCTCAGGATTAACATTCTTTGACAAATATATTGTATTTTTCCATCTACTTTTCAAGTTTCTCCACTTCTTTAGCTTTTGAACTATAGCTGTCCTGGTGTTGTCATAGAGCTCCAGTGTTGCATTAACAAATGCATTGTTACGCCTCTTATCTACTTTCTGTGAAACAATTCTCTAGTCAACAAAAAATATATATATATATATCTTTGGTTTTCAATAATAGGTTGTTTCTCCTCTGTTCTCCGAAAGTCCCTCATTGGCCTTAGCCCTCTGAATTTTTAATAGTGTGCAGTTCCTGGAATTCAATCCCACTGATTTTGGAAGCGCTACTGAAACGGCTTTATTCACCGATTCACTGTAACATCTCTCAAAGGACAACAACTAAACATGATAACTCAACACCCTTGACTTGTTTTGCAAACGGCGGAAGATCTAAAACCCCACATGGGCTTCGCGACATTGTCAAAATATGTTGTCTCTTTTGAATCAGGCGTGACTTGCCTTCACTAGGTGGCTAAAGTGAAATGTTACAGGCTAATTTATGTGCAATTCCCCCCCCCAGAAAATATAAAAATATTTTTTTTTTTTTTTTTTTTTTTTTTTTTTTCATTTTCAAATGACAAATTAACTGAAGTCCAAAGCCGAGGCTGCGTTTTACATTTTTGCACCACCGCCTCCCACACTACCTTCTCCCGTTTGGAGTGCAAAGTGCAATGCTTCACCATGTTGTTGGTGCAGGAAAGAAGAGGAACAGAATGCTAACTCTGAGTAATGTGACCCCAACGCTCTGTCTGCCTGTCACTCATGATGGTATGGAGGGGCTGACGGGACCAAACGGGAACGTTGGTTGAACACATCTTTGAAGTTGGAACAAAATCTCTGCCAATAATGACACAGATCCAAAGATTCCAAAGATATACTTATATATATATATACATTTTTTTTTTCCACGCTACAGGTGCGTCTTAATAACTTAATATTATCAAAAGTTTTTGTATTTTAGTGATTACATGTCACAGGTATGTAGTCTGCCAATTTTGATAAGTATGACCTATCAGAATAATGTAGTGTACATTTCCATAAAAGCTTGTCAACAGAAAGATTTATAAAGCACTCTAAAATAATCTTGTAGGTGATTTCTCTGACTGTAGACTTGGGGGGAAAAAACTGGACCAAAACCAGCTAATGACATGGCTCCCCAAATCATCATTCTCTAGGTCATTTGGATCTCTGCTTCTGCATTCTTCCTCCAGAGTCCGATACCTTTACTTCTCATAGAAGACTTTGGACTACTTTACAGCCATCCAGTCGTTTACTCCTTAACCAGACTATATCTGGTATCTCTGATTATAGAGTCCCTTAACAGAGAAAGGCAACAGTTTTTGGTCCATGTCCTAGGTCTGTGTCTGGCAACAGCACTCAACACCCTGTGAATCTCCGTCAAACTACAGGATGAGATTTGCATCATTTTCATTTCCAGACTGGAATTATCCCTGTTGCTTGGCATTTTTCTTTTACTTTGTTTTCTTTCATTAAGCTTTCCATAGGTAAGCTTACACACAGCAGTCTATGAGCCTTTATTGGTATGTTTTTGTTTCTTAACTTCTTGTTGACTAGCTTGCCAGCCGTCAAGTTGACAATCTTGATAACTGGTAATCGCTTTTGAAGAATGTAAATCCTTTTTATTAGCTTCATGTAAAATTCCAATTCTCTAGTTTGTGAATTTTGTGTTTTCATTAGCAATAAGACACACTGAACAAAACTAACAGAATTGAGATCTTGTTATAGTTCTGTTTGCAATAAAATTATATAATAAATGAATGACCTTTTTTTTAAAAATTCAATTACTGAAAGATACTTTTCAATGACATTTTAATTTGTTGAGGTGAAGCTGTATGTTTAATACTGAATCTGACGAAGAGACTTAAACTGCCTTTGATATTATGTTTAGCTCAGCCTCTGGCAAATTTGCGAATGTAAGCTAGTGAATGCAAACACTTTGGTGTTTTTCTGGATGCGTACGTGATAAAATGTGCAGTTTGCAGAGATCATGTGCAGTAGTGAAGGTCTGCGCGGATGGCAGAGGAGACGCATGAATCACAACCAGAACGACGGGTATAAAGTTCATTTTTTATCCAGACAGACCATCAATCAGAGCTTGCAGGAGATGGCTGGGCCTCCTGATATCAATCTGCATGGAGGCATCCTGTTTCTCCCCAGAGGGCTGCGGGAGGGAGAGAGTGGAGGGCTTTGATTTAAACGGTAGCATTTATCACACCTGCTCCAGCGTCCTAAAGGACAGCCGAATGAAACGGAGGAGAGCGGTAGCATGCGAAACCTCGACTCTGACTATTGTTTTTATGCCATTACTACCACATGCTTAAACCATTTGAACAAAATTAGATTTGATGCTTTGCATGTGATTACAGCTCATTGTGGTTGCGGCTTGCGAAGTGAAAATTGTTCCCTAAGCCCTTCTTCATTCTTAGTTTTGCAGCATGTTTGACATTAGTCCGTTAACTATGCAAATGTTCTCAACGACAGACCAACTGGGAACACTCTCTTCTTTTAATGTGGCCACATGTGTGGCAGTTAAAAAAATAAATAAAAAATTCTGAATGTACGACAGTCATACTCCATGCTCCCAATTATCTGTAAATGCAGATATTATACAACACACACTCCGCTTCTTGAATTCCAATTTCTCAGTTCCCCCATTTTCACTTCTCTGCCTTTCGGCCTCAGCAGCTCAACAACTTCCTGAGACGGCTGTTGTAACAATAACATCAGCAATAGTAACGATAATAGAGCGGAGGAAAATGCTTGCATTGCGACAAACACCATCCCGGTGTGACAGCGTCGTCCGTCTTCATGATCCCTCCCCCCCTCCGCCAACCAACCTCCTCCCTAAAAATCAACAAGACACACTCGGTGAAATAAGTTGGTAAAATGCACACAACCTGAAATAGTCCACCTGAAAAGACAGATGAGCACACAACTACATTACTTGAGACTGGCTAGTGCTTCAATGGGGTTGAAATCATTCAAAAGGCTCTTCTTGCTTGAAAAATAGAGAATTTAGTCTGAAGAAGAAGAATATTTACATGAGTACTCAATAATTTCACACTTGCAGTTGTGATGCATTCTGTGAACGGTAAACAAAGAAACACAGTGATGTCGTCTTCTCAGTTTCTCCAAAAGTAAACAGTCACTTTTTTTTTTCTAAACTAACTGCTAGGTTTTGGGACGATTATTATTGGATATAATACCAATGAGAAGAAGAACAATAATGATGATGGCAATCGTTTAAATTATACTGTCAAAATTATTGACAGTAGTT